TTATAATAAGGGCTGGTTTGGCATTCTTAAAAAAAGTCAAAAAGTTACTAAAAAAGTTAAAAGTTATCACTATTCACCAAAAAAAAAATATAAAAAAATTAATTTTACACAAAAAAAAGTACAGGTCACTTTTCACGTGAGTTGTACTTTCGCTGACTTTGGTTAGACAAAGGGAACATACGGGTACACAAACAAGACGGTGTTGTTCGGCCCGTGGAGGCCCATCACGGATCCCGTTTCGATAATCTGAACCGTAATGTATAGAACTCGTCAAGTACTATATGCTTGTAAAAAATCACGTTGATCAGATATTACTAACTACATGATCAAATCAGTTTTATATATATAAAAAAATGGATGGTGTCATAGTTAACAGTTGACAAAAAACTAATCTGATCAGATAGCTATCGATATTCGATCAACGTGATTTTTTCCAAGCATATAGTACTCGACGAGTTCTACACATTAAATGGTTTCAATTAGCAAAACAGGACCCATGGTGGGCCTCCACGGGCTGAACAGTACCGTCCAATTCAATACCAAAAAAAGAGACAAGCATCTCTTATACACTACTTTACACAATACTGCTACCGTACTGTCCACTGTACTACCTACTCGCCAAAAAGCTTCTCCTGTACATTAATTTATACAATTTTTTAATACATATTTTTTCGTAAAAAATTAAAAAATTATCCCAAACAATCATATTTTTTTCTCAACTTTTTAGTCTAAAAAGTCAAAAAATGCACTTATTTACGACATCCCAAACAATCTCTAAGTATCCTGCGGTACTTAAGGGATATAGTGATGCTGATTGGAACACTTTGTCAGGTGATTCTCTCTCTACCTCGGGTTTTATTTTTACCTTGGGTGGTGGTGCTATATGTTGGAAGTCTAAAAAACATATTATAATTGCTAATTCTACTATGGAAGCTGAACTTATAGCGTTAGGTTCGGTATGTGAGGAAGCGAATTGGTTGAGAAATTTGTTACATGAAATTCCTTTTTGGGAAAAACCAATTCCTTATATGTTAATTCGTTGTGATAGCACTTCTGTAATTGGTAGAGTGAACAACTATTTTAATAATGGTAAATCCAGACCTATTCGAAGGAAACACGGTAATGTGAGATCCTATTTGAGTAATGACATCATAACTGTGAATTATGTAAGATCTTGTAATAATCTTACGGATCCGTTAACCAAGGCCTTGGCGAGAGATAGGGTTTGGAATACATCAAGGGAGATGGGTTTAAAGTCTATAAAATCATAAACCATGTATGAAGATAACCAACCTGGGGACCAGAGATCCTATAACTAGGTTCAATGGGAAGAACGAATCATTTGGTAGTTGTAAAAATGCACTCCTTAATATTTTGTTGTCTATCCCTATGATGTAAGTGCAATTGTCCTATAATGTTGGAGGGTTGAGTTTTTATACTCTTAATGAAATTATGTAGCTCTTGTTGAGTAGGGTGTGTAAATTACAAGAACATCCTTGACAGATTTCATCTATGTGAGCATAAAAGTGGGGCCGCTTTCTATGAGAACGAGGCATATTCTTAAATATGCTCATGAAAACTGGGATAGGCACAAGGCCGTAATATGCTGGCTATTAAAGCTCATGTCAACACCTGGATTATTATGTGTTGTCCTATAATGTTGGAGGGTTGAGTTTTTATACTCTTAATGAAATTCTGTAGCTCTTGTTGAGTAGGGTGTGTAAATTACAAGAACATCCTTGACAGATTTCATCTATGTGAGCATAAAAGTGGGGCGCTTTCTATGAGAACGAGGCATATTCTTAAATATGCTCATGAAAACTGGGATAGGCACAAGGCCGTAATATGCTGGCTATTAAAGCTCATGTCAACACCTGGATTATTATGTGTGAGCAGTAATACTTTATTTCCCCTAAGCAGTCATAGTTCAAGTCTGAGACCACTACTGACTTGGAGTAGAGGTTACTGTTTCACTAATGAAGGTTCAGTGCAGAGCACACTTTCATGATGCATACTAGTCTATTTTTGTTTGGTAATCTCTCTTGTCCTTGTTGATATTAAAATGAGTGGGGGATTGTTGGACCATTTTAATATCTTTTATTTATTTATTTATATATTTTGTTCATGAATCTTCTTTTGTCTTGTTCATAAATGGAGATTCATTATTTTGGTGACCTTTTGTCTTATTCATTAATGGAGATTAATTGGAAGTTTATGGACTTAGTAATGAGTTAATATTTGAAGACTCTCCCTTGTCTCTAGTTTAATAGTCATTATTATTTTTGGTGTAAATTGTAAGGTCCTAATGGCCTATAAATAGTTCCTTTCATCTATTCTTTTTTACACCAAATATTGTTTATACTTGAGAGATTACTAGCAAAGAAGGGTGTTTTTCTTGGTGGAGTTTTGGGTTCACCGTATTGTGCAGAGTTGGCCTGAACCATACGATAAGTGATCGAGTTGTTATATCCTGGAGGGGACAAGTCATAGTTTTGTGACTGCTGCATCGGCATTTGGGTTCTTCCTACCGCATTGGATTTGATCTCCTTAAAGAAAACGAGATATCTGTGCCTCAGCCTGATCTATTTGTATCTCATTTTCTTTACATTATTTATCAATAAAATATAATTCTTCTGGTATTTTCACCAACAGTATATATATGTAAAGAAAGAAAGCAGCTTTGGACTAAGGACTAAAGAATTGGAACTTAGAAGAGGTAAGTGATGGTGGAGAGGGTCGAGTCATTTGCAAGGTGAGAGTTGAAATCATAATTTATGGTTTGTTTGGTTGCTTAGAAATTGTGAGAAAAGAAGAGAAAGTTACAGTAATTTGTTCCTTTACGTTTGCTTTTGATTTTTCTATTGTGTGAGCAAATGAAAAGCTTAGGTACTTGCAATGTAGTTGGGTTCCTATTTTTGATTGTTGAGAATTTGCTAGAAAATATGAGAAATTTTTAGTAGCCTTTAATTGATTTTTTTTGTTGTTGTTTTTTTTCTTCTTCTAATTATTAGTTTTAGATTGTATTTAGTTCATGAATTTAAAAAGAGCTTTAAAAAAATGTGTCTAAAATCTATCTAAATCTATCCTCAAATCTATAAACCAAACACAATCTTAATCAATTTGTCTCTTCCACTCACCCTTTTCAATTCTTAATTTTTGCTTTTGATTTGTTTATATTATGGATATATACCTAAAGCAAAGCAAATGGGGCGGGGATGTTAGGGGCAAAGAAAACCGATCCCCTTGAGGGGTAGGGGTGGAAATAAGAAATTGGTCTCCATTGGAGATTGGGTATGGGGGATGGGGAAAAAATAAAAATTGGAGATTAGGGATGGGGAGGGTAAAACCCACTCTACCCACCCCATTGCCATCCCCAATTTCGATCCTTCGCTCTATTTTGCCCTACTGTGTCTCGATTATTTATTATAGATATTGTATATGTATATAATTAAAAATTTTAAATATAAAAATATTAAAACACAAAAAAATTACCTTAACATACATATTTACTTATTTATTTTTTATCTTACATTTTTGTTTTTTAACTTTTAGCATTTATAAATGATTACTCATAATATATCAAATTATCTCCTATTTTTTTTAGCATCATCATTCCTAAAATTACAAAATTAATCCATTCTTATTTCGCTACCTCCTAAATTTGAGCACTACAAACTCACCCGTCTGCGCCATTGCCATCCTGTCGGCTTGTTTTTACATGATTCCAGATTAATCCGACAGACCTACTAATATTCGGCCTAATTTGAGACAAACTTTTCAGCTTTTATAACCAAGTATGTCCAAAAATTTAAACCTTATAAAACTTTTAAACAAGCCTTTCAGCTTTTATAACAGAGAATGTCAAAAACTACCATAGTAGAATCCATTCTTATTTCGCTACCTCCTAAATTTGAGCACTACAAACTCACCCGTCTGCGCCATTGCCATCCTGTCGGCTTGTTTTTACATGATTCCAGATTAATCCGACAGACCTACTAATATTCGGCCTAATTTGAGACAAACTTTTCAGCTTTTATAACCAAGAATGTCCAAAAATTTAAACCTTATAAAACTTTTAAACAAGCCTTTCAGCTTTTATAACAGAGAATGTCAAAAATTTTAAACTTGATAAATCTTTTGAACAAGCCATTTAGTTTTTATAGCAAAGAATGTCCAAAAATTTAAAACTTGTAATAAAAAAAGGGTAATGATACATCCCACTAAAAGTGGTGCTCTAAAGCACCACTAATGAGTTGGCAAGCACTTTAACCAAAAAAAAAAAAAAAAACACAAGACACAAGCAGTGGGTCCCGTCCATTGCCACATCACTAGTGGTGCTTTTAGAGCACTACTTTTAGTGGTCTCAAGCATTATTGATAAAAAAAACTACCATAGTAGGTATGAAATATATGAATTTAATTTTAATTGTGCCGTCACCATTGTATATTTTATATGGTTTGCAAAAAAATTAGTTGAGACTGATTCAACCCATTACTATAATGTGGTGTTTATGACTTGGTTTTAAGTTGCTTTATTTAATTTGGACTCAGTCCTCCTATCGTAACTTTATTTCAATACTATCCCAACTCTATTCTAATAAATTAGCAGGTAGTCTACACCATTTGAAAGACAACATAAATAAAGAGAAAGAAGAGCCGGTATTAAGATTTTTCGACTTGCTAAGATCATTATTTGAAAAAAGAAAAATACGAAAAACAATGACATGATCAAATATCTTTACAATATGCATCTAAATTCATATTTATATATATAGATAGATTCTTTAACCTTACATGAAATAATAAATAATAAAAAAAAAAACATCATGATCTTGTCACATTGTATCTATCATAAAAACTTTCAAGGACTATATATACATAATATTGTTGTGATTTTAAGCACCATTCACTTTCAAGGAAGTTTCCTTCAAACAGAAACACAAAACTGTCCTTCCCACCCCAAACCCCACAAACACACATAAATAAGACAACTCTCAAATGCCCACAAGACATTCCAGGCAAGAACCAAAACCAAAACCAAAATAAAAAATGTGGCACTGCTCTTTCTTCACCATTCCCTTCTGCTTGGTCCTCTTCCTCTTCTCACTGCACCGAACCGGCTCTCCCATCGTCAATGCGCTATCCATCGATCTGATCAACACAACCTGCAAACAATGCTCAGACAAGTCCACCACCTTCAACTTCGACTTCTGCTTAACTTCTCTCCAGCCAATCCCCATCAGCCACGTCACAAACCTTCAAGGGCTTGCACTCGTTGCCATGGAGCTAGCTCTGGAAAACACCACAGATACAATGTCGAGCATAGAGAAGATGTTGAAGAGTGGAGAGTTCGACCCTTTTGCCCTCACGTGCTTGAAAGATTGCTTGGAATTGTATGGGGAGGGCGTGCCAATGCTGGCCAATTCCATTGGAGCTTTTTTGGCTGAGCAATATGATGCTGCTAAATTGTTGTTGAGTGTAGTTATGGAAGAGGCATCAACTTGTGAGGATGGGTTCGTGGAGGAAGAGGGAGAGGCCTCTCCATTGACAAAGGAAAATAGTGATCTCTTCCAGTTGGTTGATATTGCAGTGTGTATTGTTGACTCAATTACCTTTGATTCTAAAGTCCTATTGAACTAGTAACTCAGTTTGGTTTGTCTTGCTTGTATAAGATAATTATAAAACAAGAGCTAAAAACATCTCTCCCCTAGTTCCCAATTATCAGCTTTTTTCTATATTTTTAAAGCTATTTTTATCTCATAAGGCTATAAGGAGAAGCTATGTCAAACACTCTAGCATAGATTTTCAAAATTTAAAGAAAGAAAAGAAAAAAGAAACTTTAAGTACCTTTGTAAGCTGTACCATACAGCTCATGTATGTGTGAGGGATGGCAATGGGTTAGGGATTTTCAGGTTTCGCATGCAAATTCTTGATTTTAAACTCAACTATTTTAATGATACAATTTCATACTTTACCCTAACCTTGACAATTTTGACCTTTTTAAGAAACCGTCGGCTTTGGGCACCTGGGATCAGCAGTACGAGAAAGGTTCTACCCTTTCCAACCCACGCCTTTATTAGCACTGGCTCCACAAGAAGGCAGCCATCGGAGAGAGTCTCTACCTACCCCTATAGAATTCACTCTTTCATCCGATAGAACAATTCCTAAAATACTTCATTATTTGGGTGATTTTCAGAATAAACTGCAGGACTTATGCTCTATGAACACTACTATATTCCGTAGTAAAGCCAAGCCCTTTTGAATAATCTGTAATAGCTGAGAAGAGTGTAATCTTACTAAAAACTGCGATAGAACTCTATTACCATGACATTGACAGTCATGAAATAAATTGGGCAATGGTATTTATTGTTGTTTTCCTCCGAACTACATAAATTAGTATAATCCTAATCTTGATTGGAATTAAATGGTCATGTCCATAAAACAGAAAGGCAAACAATCAATAAATGTAAACATGAATAGTGATACATACAGTAAATGCAGAGAGTGGCAAATCACCCCTTGAAATGTTGGTATTTGATTTATCAATTTCAGAAACAAACAAGTAAAGAATTGTCCAAAAAAAGCTGATATCATCAATTGAGGGTACATTCTATACTGTTACCCTACCAACGGAATCATTCATCTGGTAGTATTTTACAACACTTACAAGTGGGTCAACCTGCACAGCAGCTTCCTTGAACTTTCATAGATCTAACGTTACACAGGCACCCTTTTGCCACGGTAACGGTCCAAGAACTGCACAAAGAAACAAGCAACTTGTAGGAAAAGTATATAGATCATTTCAATCAAAGAAATGAGCAAGTAGGACATAGGCTATATGTAAGAAATAGATGTATTATTGATTGATTTATATTGATCTCTATTACAATGATTCATGATTCCTATATATAGAAGAGGGTGAGTGTGTAGTAGGTAAGGAGTAGGTGAAGTGGAGGTGGTAGTGGTGTAGTGGGTTAGGTTTAGTGGAGTAGGTGAGGTGGTAGTGGTGTAGTGGGTTAGGTTTAGTGGAGTAGGTTTAAGTGGGTGAAGTAGGTGGAGAGTAGGTGGATTTTAACACTATAGCATCCAACTCATAGGAAAAGTATAAATCTAAAAACGGAGCAGTGAAAGGGGTTTCTAACCGTTGTTATGTTCCTACTGAAGTTACACATAACCCATCTTATTGCTGCTAATAAAAATACCATGCCACAAAATGCTAAGGTCTAAACCAACCTCGCCAACTATCATACCCCTACCCCCACCTATTCATGGGCCAATGAAGCCCCAATCACTCAACACGTCTTCTAGGGTAGGCAAATCCATTTTGCAATCAATATCCCTAGATATCTCGATGATGACTGAAATAATGCTCATTGGTAGGGCATTACCAGTTGCACCCAATTTAGATGAACAAAATTTGCAGGAATAGAATTGATTGCCTCACTAGCAAAAGAACAACATAGATTACATTATTAGAAACGAGTTGGCCTTAAAGTTCTGAATTCCATTATTCCATTTCAAATTAAACCTGGGAAATATGTTAAAATTTTCTGTGTTGGTTTCAAGAAAAATGTCTGAATTCTCTGTAGTTTAGCTTTGGAAGGAATGGAATAGCTTCGCAATAATAGAATCCATGACTGTGCAAAGCAAAATAAAATAGAATGGATATGATAAATCATGAATCAAAATGGAAATGATGAGCTCATCATTCTTGCATTAGAAATTAGTAAACTTCAAAAATCAGAAATACTTTATAACATTTCCTATATTCATAATTTAGGAGTATGTCTAGGTTTTCTACTTGTTGATTTGAGAAGGTTGCACTTGTTCATAATTATTCCACTTTATTATGAGCAAAATACGATTTCCACAAAAGAATCTACTTCATCCAAGCAGATGATGAGAGAGGACATTCACTGAATGCAGCAACATGATGCAATACCTTGATTAAGTGGGGCTGCCTTATTATTTTGACTGTTATATGTTCATGATCAGGAAAAAGAAAGGTCTCAACTATACAAAATGCACCCCATGATTCCCAAACTACATTCCAATTCTCAATATAAATTATGTAGAGAACAAACCAACAAAAGTGGCTTCCATGAAAGAACACAAGAAGCAAAATTCCATGAGAATTCTCTCTAAGAAAACATTATATTGAATTGCAAGATAAACGTACCGATCTAACAAATGGTTGTTGGAACACCCACCCAATAATAGGTATCTTCTGCACAAAAACTGACAGTGTTGGCCAAAAGCCACTGCACAGAATACCCAATCAGCTACTAACGATAAGTAATATGACCAGCAGACATTAAATCATTAAAGAAAAATCCAATGAACCTGAAAAGAACGATGAATCCATATGCCTCCAAAATCATTCCCAATACAGGCCATCCTATAACAACCAAGAAAAAGCCCACGCCAAAAGAAATTGTTCCCTGTACAATCATCACAAGGCACAAAGTGGTAAATAAAAATGGAGATGAGTATACACACTGAATATGAGAAGCATAGAGCAAACAAACCTTGAAATTGCTACGTTTCATGAAGAACTGCATCGCGGACTTTGGTCCAATGGTTATTGTCACCCCTGATAAGAAGAGGATCTGATTCAGTATCGCCAAAATAACGCAACGTTAAGCAGGCATCAAATGAACAATAAGCTAAACGGTAGATGCTCAATAATGTAAGAAACTGAGCAATAAAATGATGATGAGAAAAACATTTTACTTACATTTCCCATGGCAAGTAGTCCCTTGTCAAAAAATAAAATGATTCCCAAGAATGAGAACAGTATGCCAAATGCTGTCAATCCCAGCCCAATTTCTGTTTCATCAAATAGTTTCAAGTTCTTTCATTAATCAGAATTTTGAAATGGAATAATTCAATAATACGAAGAATAACTGAGAAGAAGATTCAAATTTTTTGAGTAATGTTTAGGCCCCTAGTATAGAGGGGTATGCCCCTCTTGATTCATGTACAGTTTATTTCTTTCTTTTAAATGGTCACCTTTTACAACCCCCAAAAAAAAGATTCATCTTAAATGCATCTAATTACAAAAATTGAAATTTCATGTATCACCCTTCTAACCTAAGGAAAAGGACATTAACAATGCTACATTTCCTAGATAGGACAAACAACCAGAAGTAAATAGATTTTTTTTGAGTCAATCAAAAGCAACTCATACAAAAGTATGAATTTCACAGAACTCATAGCCTTCATCTAACAAGATATGCAATTCCTTGGTGGCTTCATTGTGTGGATGAGGGTGGCAAATAATCAATCCAACCCTCCTTTCATGGTTCCACCAGCCAAATGGTAAAACTATAGCAAATGGAGTATAAAAGGTTCAGGTATAAATACCATCAAGTTTCTGCCCAATTGTGTGTGTGAGCATCGAAAAAGTGTTTATACATGTGTTTTCCAATGTCTCGAGAAGACACTAATATTTCATGTGCACACTCTAAAATGGTAAGCATGCCCCAAAATTCTGTAACAGCCCGTTAATCTAATTATCTAACAATCTAAGAATGCAATATGCCAATATGAATTCACTACATGGTAATGGGAGGTTTATCCCCATTTAAAGTACTACTCCATGAATGGCACCATGTTCCGTGATCATTGATAATTGTCGAACATAAACTTCGCAAATACCCTACATATACCTCGTCACCAAATTGAGACAACCAGCATTAAAACAAAAATTACACACATGCTATCCTACAAAAGAAATCCTCTAGGATGATGGTGGAATGTGATATACAGCCTTGGTTTTGTCATTTTGTTTGACCACAGAAGGAGAATGAAGAAAGGTAGTATGATAAGCAGCAAACTATGTGGGTGTTTGGCATACACCTAAAACAACCACATTTTTTCCCAATTATTTTGTCTTTAGTCATCTTTTTTCAAAATTTGTTTAACTTTTTCGGTTGTTTTGACCAATCTAAAAAAAATGAAAAACAAAAAAATCAACTCTTTATTTTTTTTTTTTTCAAATTGTTTAACTTTTCCAGTATGTCGAGTACAATCCTAAAACTTTTTAAAAAATTTAAAAAACAGTTCACTAAGAAAAAAAAGAAGCCAAATAGTGAAACCCCAAACACGCACATTTAAAAACAAACAAGGGCAAACTTATCCCTGTGGTTTGGACCACGTAAAGTTACTCCTAACGTTTGACAGAGTATGATTTGTGAACTAAAATGCACTATTAGGCCCATTAATGATTTAATAAGAAAGACTAAAATATCCTATATATAAAAGTCGTGTGAACTATGAATATTTTTGTCATTTGTTTAGAAGGCAAAGTGAATTTTAACACTGTATTTTATTCCATTTGCGATATACCCCTTAAAATTTGAAAATGGACATATAACCCCTAAGTTAGACGGAATGTTTAATGATATACTTCAGTCCACAGCCATGTAGATGGTCATTTCCAACGACAGCGGATAAACCGCACATGGCCCAACCGGTAAAGTGAAATTTGCCCAACAAACAAAAACAGATAACACAGATGTATATATACATGTATATATGTGATATTTGAATGTATGAATCATAGTATTGAGAAGTAATGTCAGTTCACACTTTTGCGGTCGTTCATTTCGAAGTAAGCCATGGAGCCGATTCAGAAACGAAGCTACAACTGCCAAAATTCCAACAATTGAGAACTACAGCCTGCAATTCAAAGCAAAAGCAAGTCAAAACAGCTAAAAATCAAAACAACACTGTTCAAATTCATCAACTAATTTCAGCCTAGCAGCTAGGGTTTGAAATTTTATTTTTTTATAAAAAAAAAAGAAAAACAAAAGCCATTCAAATAAGATCTGAAGAAAATTAAATGTATTCAACAATCTTCAGAACACCTGTAAGCTCAAAATTGATTTAACGAATCTGGTAAACGAACCCTAAACAATTAGGTAAGAAGAGAGCCAGTGTCTATATATCGAAAGATAAAGAGGAGCCCGTTACAGTGCTATGTTGAATATTGAGCATGAAGAGAGAGACGGAGGTTACAGACAAGACGCGTGTGGAGAATTTTCAGTTTGGGCTTGTACGCTAAGCAAAGGAATTGATTGTCATTTGATCGATGACGTTTTTTTTTTTTTTTTTTTTTTTTTTAAAATACCGTTGTATTTATTCAAACCATTTTGTGACTTTATATTTATGAAGCTGTCTCAAAGACACTATTTTATTTTATTTTACTTTTTTTTTTCAACGGTACCTATTACAGTCACAAAAAACTCTTTTTTTTTTTTTTTGCGACGGCAGTTGGTGCCGTCGCAAAAACTTTATTTTTTCGCGAAGGAGAGAGGGAGAAAGAGAGAGGAGAGGAGAGAAGAGCTCGTCGCCTCCGCCCGCCGTCTTCGTCGCAGCTCGCAGCTCGTCGCCTCCACCCGATCGTGCCTCCGCCCCCCGCCTCCGCCTCTAGCCCTAATAATTGGGTCCCCTCCAGTACTTCTCCTCCTTCATCTTCCTCTTCCCTCTTTCTTTCTTCCTCCTCCTCCTCTGATTTTCTACTTCTAAAAAAAAAAAAAAAAAAAATGACACCAAAGGGAGGGGATGAACGGAGCTGTGTGTGTGTGTGTGTGAGTTTTCAGAGGGAGGGGATGAACAGAGGGAGGGTGGGTGTACAAAGCAATTCGGGCCTTTCGACCAACGCCATTTCGAGCTACGAAATGGGGTTGCATTTTTTATATAAAAAAGTTAAACAAAAATTAAAGGGTAAGTCTACTTATACTACTATTTAATCTCTTTACACTTTCTATTTCATTATATCATTAAAAAAAATATAATTCTCATTACACCATCAATATATTATCAAAACTAATCATAAATTAACTAATTCATCTCTTTACACCGCTAATTTTGGTAATATGGTACTAAATAATACACATTATTCCGATGTTATACTGCCAGAAAAAATAAATCTCTTTAGCATTTTGTTACTGTACATTTACAGGGCCACTTTCTACTAAACAATGATTTTTAAATTTGTGGTGAATCTGTTCGATAATACAATGTTAATTAATTTGAATAACTCTAGTGCTATGTTACTGGATAATATTTTTTCCATCATTATATTGCTATCCAATTAGATGATAACAATAAATTAATTTGGGTCACTCGTGAAGTGTCTCTTCAATGATACATTATTATACAAATGAGATTACTCTAGTGTCATATTACTAAACTACAATAGAGTTGTTTAGGCCTCCATCGCTGTACATTGAACGATTTATTTTTTTCTTGAAGCATCTATAAAAAAAATTATAAATCAGACACGCATCCATAAAATCATACATAAAAGGTATCTATAAAATTATTCATAAAAATATCAAGTGTACGAATATCCATAAAGTATCCATAAAATTTGTCATTGTTTGCATCCATCAATCAAACATGTTATCACAATTTGTCTTGGTAATGTTGGAAAAATGGTTTTATATAGGCATATTTTTTAACCCAATTTGGGTGGAGTGAAGTGTTTCTTGCCGCGTGACAAGTCACACGGGGAAGACGGAACGTCAAAACCATTTATGAGTGAATGGGAAGTTGACGTCGTTTTTCGAGTCTAACATTAATTTTTTAAATAAAATTCTTTTGATTTTTTTTTATAAAAAATTATTGTGAGAATTTAATTTTATTTTTGATATCCTAAAGTGGTTTCTTAAAATAGATTAAACTACTCAAATAGTTTAAATTCCAAACTGTTTGTTAGCTTTAGACCATTCAAGTGATTTAAATATTAAAATCAAACAGTTTTGAACTTTGCCATAACCAACGGATCTTTTTTCAATTGTTGTGTGAAAAAGCTATTTCATAGGAGCAACGGACAGATACAGTTTTATAATTGCATTTCTGTTTGAAATTTCAGAAAGTTTCTGTTGACTTTTTGTTGCACCTGTTCTGCCTTACCACACCTGTTCGGGGCTTTGATATTTTGCCTATAAATATTCCATAAATCCAGCAGTCTTTGGGGAATAAAAAGTTCAATCCGAAAATCAGTCTAAATTTTTCTCTTTGCTGTCCTATTTTAATAAAAAATAAAATTAAATTCAAATGTTTTT